TTCTTTTTCCAGAGAGTAGTGCTCAACAGTCTTCTGTTGAGAGAGATCAGAATGAACTTACACATACTTTACAGGCTCTTCTATGAGGAAGAGGTCAAAGGCAACCAAAGAAGGCAGTTATGTGCCAGAAAAAAATATGTCATAATCCCGAACTTCCTGTTGCACCCAATTAGGCTATGGATTTACTTTCTGATTGTCGGCTTAGTCTAAATATTATCAGCCTCTACTGACAAGTTAATCTATAACAGGAAATTCAACAGACAGAGTATAGTCCATACTACATTATCTTTATTTGATATAGTTAGTCCCAAGCAAGGTTTACACAAAGCCTGGTGACTCATCATCCACACGGTTGGTATGACCGATTTGATTTACGCATTTTGTTACTATGGGTGGAAAGGACAGCTACAGATAATTGATTTGTGCTTGAATTTTTGCTGAAGACTTCATGATGAAAATTACTAATTTCTAAATTGAAGATCAGGATAAAAATGAACTAAAATTAAATATAAACCTAGATGTGCTTGAAGGTTATAATCCTGACCTTTACTTCATGTTACAAACATGGGGTTGGAACCTTCCATTTTTCCCAATGAGCATATTCTTTAAGAAATCATCACTGCACCAAACTAAACTGTACATAATATCTTAAGCTCTTACGAAACATCAATAATTATGATTTGCTTCTGTAATTAACAAAATTATCTAGCAATACTGATACAGGTCTCAAATGCTACAAGAAGAAATGGAACATAACATAATGAAATGTAATGAGCACTCCGTCTTCTAAATCTACTTGTGATTTCAACATAGTCTTTCCTGTTGCCTTATAAACTGTATTAGGAACCCCCGGAGACAGGGCAAGACACTGTAGGAATATGTTTGATATATAGTTGGATTAAATAACAACCTAATATATCAAACATATCACACAGAGGCCTGCAGAAAAGGCATCCAGGTCTGACTGAGCTCGAGAATAGGCACACTACTGCAAGCTACAGCTGCAGGGGGTGGCCACCACTGCACCTTCGTTACCTGTCTGTGGAGCACAGTCTGTCTGCAAGTGTGGAATCGGCGCCATTAGTGATATCTATCATAGGCACATGCATCAGAGCTCGCCAACATTCTCATTTTGCCTTTGTGCCATCTTCCCAAGCAAATGGTGGATTCGACAGTGCAAACTTGTTCGTTATTCATGTCTGGGAGATTCCAGGCAAAAAGGGGTGCTTACATTTTAAGGGCCTGAGGTGGAATTAAACTAGGAATCATCTTCATAAACCACAGACCATTCTACTTTTAAAACAGGCAACCTGAGAATGCAGTGAGCAAAACAATTTAAATAAAAACATCACCCGTCCCCAATACTAACCCTCGAAGCAGGGTAAATGCTGCCCAGTTACAGAAGGAAAAGCACATTCGCTCTCTACTGAGGGCCTGTGTGTTGTGTGCAGTTATAGGAATAGGGATGCCAATTCCTATAGGGATGCAATTGCTTATTCATGGTATCTTGAGGATTTTTTTTTTTTTTTTTTTTAAGTTATGAGAGAAGATGGAGAGAAGCAATTAACCTCAAAAGACTGGTTGACTTTGGTGTCAGAATGGGATTTTTTTTTTTTTTTTACTGGGGAAATAAAGTCCTTTGTAAAGACAAGAAAGATGTGTTATCTCATGGCGATATTACCAGAAGACAGATGGCACTCCCTAACAGGTACAAAAGCTATGGTTTTGGTTGATGGTTTCTTCAAAAACAGTTTTCTAGATAATATAATCCAGGTGGTGGGAGCCTCTGGTCATTGGGCAGAGAGAGACTTCAGATCATTCTAAAGAACTCTAGAAGTACCAAGCACTCTTCCTAATATGAAGATGGGAGAGATCTAAAGTAGGTAGCCCCAAGAACGGGAGTCAAAGCAACAGTTAGATTAACTATGACCTTAACTGAAGGATTCTTCAGCTTTTCATGAAAACCCGCACTATACACACAAAAACTAGATGATCCTAGAGCAGTGTAGGAAGTGCCCCTGGCCCACTTCCGCAGTCATTGCTAATTTAAATGCTGTTATTTTTAAAGCATAGACCCTCCCATCGCCCCAATTCTACCATCATTCTTGTACGTTCCCCACCTGTCTCCTTTATTTGCAGGTGGTTTTTTTTATAGAGTTGTAAGCATCATGTATATAATTCTGTATCCTTTTTTAATTTTATATTATGCCATGAGCATCTTCTACATTACACAGTCCTATCAACCATTATGTTTAACAGCTGTGTACTTTTCCTTCAAGGAGATACTCAGGTCACATCCAACTTCACAGTGTTATAAACAGGCTGAAAGGAACAACCCTCTTGTACACACAGAACTTTCTTCCTTTCTGGATTTCCTCCTCAGGAGATTCCCAGAGGTGGAATTAATAGTCAAAGGATATGGGCAAACTAATAACCTCCCCTGTGGGAATGCATCACCCTCTCTAACACTGGGTAGGCCGAGAGGGCTAGTGTGGACTAGAACTGCCACCCAATGCCCATACACACTGCTCTCAGCTCAGTCATGGCCATCTGATGCTGGCCAGGCAGTCTGCCTCTGCTTCTGCATCGGTAGAGCAGAGACGGTAACAGTGCTGCCTCAGGGACTTGTTGCCAGGACCAGATGAGTGAATCCACGTAAAGTACCAAGAAGATTGCCTGGCACTTGCTTGGCGCCCAATCAATGTAAGCTTTTAGATTTTCCTTTTTTTTTCTTTCTTTTCATTAAGGCCATCAGCTCATGGGTCTATGAAATAATTTTTATTTCAGGCATTCTCAGGAGGTAGTAGATAAAAGTCGCAGAGGCCTACATTTGGTGACGGTGATACCGTTTCTGCTCACTAAGTCTCATTGTATGTCAGGAACTGTATCCTTAAATGATCTCATTTGTTATAATAATAATCCTATGGGGCAGGAACTGTAATAACTTTAGTTTTCAGATTAAAAATCATGAAGTAAATAAATGGCCTGCAGAGGGAAACCCGGATTCAGAGAAAAAACTCAGAAAGACCTGGCAAAAGGACAAAGGGAGCAGGGTTGGAACAGGAGCTCTTAGAATATGGTGATGTGTTAATGGCAAATTAGCACAAGGCTAGTTCTCAAGGAGAGTGAGTGTCAACTGACATGACTTCGGCTTTAGCAGACAGAAAAGCTTTCCCAAGAGAGGCCACTTGTGATAAATCATGTCAGGGAAAGGAAACAAATTAAGCGTGAAGCCTCTAAATCTTAGCCAATGGTTGCTGCTTGCTCCCCAAGTTGAAAGTAGTTTCCATTCACAATGAGCTTGACTTACAAAAGAGAAGCAAAGACATAACCAGAAAATGGAGCTGCCCCTATACTCACATTTAGTTCTCAAGTTTGTTAAGAAAAACTCAGTCTCAGACAACCCAACCGAGACACTCAGGTTAGAGGTCAGTAAAGAGAACACTGATAAATCCAAAAATCAGATGCCAAAATTCTTAAATTACACTTTGATGAGAAATTTTGAAAAATGCCTTTACCAAATTCTAGAGCCACTATTAAGAGGTCGGTTCTAAGAATCCCATGGTTTTAAGAATGTTCCCAAGCTTAACAGATTCACTATATGCGCATGTCTATTTTACACACAACATTGGCCCATGCACTGCTTTTGAGCAGCTTAGTATATCCAGTGCTTAGATACCATCCTTCAGTCTTAGAAAAAAGATAAAATTTCAGGCATACATAATCTGGGGGATCTAACTCTTTTTGAGTGGAAGAGTCAGATTTTACTTCCTAATGTATTGGGATCCTTGGAAGGGAGGTAAAGTTACAGGTATCAGGAGAGATTTGCTTGAATAGACAGAAAAGAGGCCGCCTCCAATTCTACTGTCTTCCCATTGAAGACAGCCATGGGGGGCAGGGTGGGAGGTTACAGCTTCTTAACAGGGTTGGGCTTTGACCCTGGACAGCACTAGCTCACCATCCTTTTTACTTAATACTTATCCTCCCTACTGCCAAAACTTAAATCATCTCTTTCCTTTAAATAGCTGTTTCTCTCAACATATACTCACGATCTTAAGTTCTAAATATTTATCTAGATCAGGGGTCCCCAAGCCCCAGGCCGTGGACCAGTCCTGATCTGCGGCCTGTTAGGAACAAGGCCGCACCACAGGAGACAAGTGAGCAAAACTTCATCTGTATTTGCAGCTGCTCCCCAGTGCTAGCATCACCACCTCAGCTCCACCTCAGTTCATCAGGCATTAGATTCTCATAGGAGCACTGGTCCCTGGTGCCAAAAAGGTTGGGGACCGCTGATCTAAATGACAAACACAGATGGAGAAAACACACCATCCATCTGAGGCCGCACCACAGGAGACAAGTGAGCAAAACTTCATCTGTATTTGCAGCTGCTCCCCAGTGCTAGCATCACCACCTCAGCTCCACCTCAGTTCATCAGGCATTAGATTCTCATAGGAGCACTGGTCCCTGGTGCCAAAAAGGTTGGGGACCGCTGATCTAAATGACAAACACAGATGGAGAAAACACACCATCCAACCACAGTCTCCAGCATATATTGAAAAAGTTGGTTATTGGGTGCACTTTTGAGATTCATACTGCTCTCTTTTAGAAAAAGAGACTCGGCATTGCTATTTCTCTGTAAAAGCATTATGGAAACCAGAAAACTAGAAGGCGACGATATCACATTCAGTAATAGGGACATTCTTTACTACGTATCCAATACCTGCTTTATATATAATGGAACTAAATCAAGATTGTAAATGCCTGGATTCTTCCTCTGGATACCCAAAGGTATTTTTCTGGGTGGTTAACCTGAAAGACCCACCCACTGGGTTTTTTCCGTACCCTGTACAAAGGTGCTGGGCAGGTAGAGCAGGTTTGCAGCTTGCTAATCTAACCACTGGGAAGGAGACAAGCTCCCTGTAGCACTCCTAGCTCCACCTCACAGCCAACCACCAGAAGACCTATTGACATCAGACAAGCAGCCACACATGGACACTCACTTTTGGTTTTGCTCTTGGCTTCAGTTGCTCTAACTTCTTAGCAGCAGCCTCAATGGATGCTGCAGCCCCCAGTAATTCTGTTTCTGCAATGACGGTTGGGTCTTCTGGATCCACCCACTCTGTTCCTAAAATCAGTCCAAAGAGGGTCATTCTTGGTAGGTGCAAACCTCAGGGCACTGGCTTAAATTATAAACAATATCTAGATTGCATGCAGAGAAGCTCCATGAGCCTACTAGCTGCATCATCCTGAGAGATCATCTCTCTGGCTCTTACAGAGATCAACTAGGTGCAGGGGGGCCCCATCCGATCTTGGTTTTCTAAATCAGTTGTGTGTACAGCCCTACCCACAGGAGCAGTCATCAATGATTGTTTCAGAAAGCAAGATCTCATGGACCGAGGCCAGCTTGAACATCACTCTGACTTCTAACTTAGGGCCCATTACTGTAAGTACGAACTTTCAGGAGACTCGAAACTATGCTGAGCACATAGATTTACCATGCTCTTCTCCTGGGATCTCTTGAGGAATAGTCACTCACCTCAATTCAAACAAAAGGAAATGGAAATGGGTGAGAAAATCTTTCCCTGGTGAGTTGATGGCTTCTGTGGAACCATGAAGGAGTGTGCCAACAATGTACCCAGATAGCACCATTTTCAAAACATGAAGGGTACTATCTGAATGAGAATAAATATTCTGATGAATGAAAACACAGAAAAATATAAATGGCGAGACTCTTAAAAGAAAAGTGAGCAGTTCTAGATGGATTATGCCATTTAAGTAGAAGTCCTTAATATAAACACTAGAGAAAAGCCTTGCTTCGGGAGGATATTACTTTTTAAAACTAACTCTATTCTCATTTGCTTTAACAAAATGTGCCTCGCTGTATTCCTCCTGACTGCATATGCCAAGAAAGGGCCTGTGTTAGCTGCACATTTTCTCTGCTCGGTTTGCTGTACGAGCACTGCCTCTGAGTGGTGCCCCACAATACAACACGAGAGAAACCAACCTACCTTTCATGGCTTCCGCTGCCTGGATGAGCTCAGTCACAGCGCCGGCGACTCGCTTAGAGAGAGTAGCCAGCTGGTGTTTGAGTTCCGGGGTTGGTTTCTGGAGAATCTAAGGGTGAAGAACAAGACAAATGCATAAGGAAGATGGTAACCGTTGTGACAGGAAACACATACTTACTGGTGGACGCAGAGTTGGACATCCTGGTTTCAAGTTGCAACCCTGTTGCCAAGAAACCAGAAAATTGGAGAAAATACGTAAGACTCACTGGCCTTCAGTTTACTCATGTGAGAAATGAAAAGTTGGGAACCACGGGTTTCTCTAAGGTCCTTTCTGACATACTTCCCTAAGATCATATGGGACACGAAATCCTTAACTGTCTTTTATTTGTACCTTCATTGACCTTTATTTGTACTTTTAGTTGTACATAAAACAAATATACATATACAAAAATTACCCAGTTACCCAAGAACACTCAGAGTGAACATGAAGGCCTAAGACTAAGGGTCAGCTAGTGCTTATGATAAAACAAATGTGGGACTAGAAAAAAAAAAGTATGACTCAGGTGGGGTCTTGGAGACAAAATCTCCAAGAGAGTAACAACCAACTGATTAGGAGGGTTGTTCCTGAAAGAATAATTCATTTCCAGGGTTTTGACTAAAAGCTCTCCTGGGAGAAGTTGTGAAGATATTTTCTCTTTTGAATTAATTCAAAGATTTTGTTAAGTGTGTTTTGCATTTTTTTAATGGTGTTAAAAAAAGATATTGGAACTCAAACCACCAATCCAATGTAAAGGACATCCTGGCTGATTTCTTCTCAAATTCATTAAAAAATAGATCTAAGAAATGGAATGAGAGGTCTTCACCATCCTTTGCCAAAGATCTACATTCTGACTTACACCATCTTGTTCCTTCCTGATTTCAAAATTCCTCTTCCAACATTCTTTTCTGCATCTCTTCTCCATGATTCCCAGTGGTAACCTTCAGATTTAGAAATGTTAGGACATTCCTGAGGAAAGCACAACTGCTGTCTCTCTGGATAATTTTGGAGCCTTGGAGCAGGGGATGAGGCATAGGCTTGGGAACTGGACAGACTTGAGTTCAAGCCTGGCTTTGCCTGATACTGGCTTGTGATATTGCATAGATTACTGAACTCCTCAGATCCTCTTTTTTTGTCTGTAAAACTGGGGTAATGCCTACCCCTCAGGGCTGCCATAAAGATCAAGTGAATTAACACATGGGAAGCGTCTTGTACAATGCTTGGAACACAGTAGGTGTTCACTGAATGTTAATTCCTTCTTGGTGTCCTGTCCCCTATTTTACCTAGCCAGGTATTATATTCATTTTCAGAAGTCTGGAAAAAATGGTGTATGGACCCTAGCCTAACTCCTTCATGTCATAATTATAAAAGAAACTTGGTAAAAAATTTGGAGCTGGAGGAATTATTGGGGTTACGCTTTGACCCGCCCTAGATATACCAGTAGATAAAAGATGTTATATACTCGTACTGGTTAGTCAAAGATTTTTGAGCATCGCTTCACATGCATTTAACCTCATCCTCCTTCCTCTTATAATCTTTAAAATTTTATATCTGTTATTGTACTGTGATTTCAGTTACTCTGTTACCCTCATTCTCTCACCCTAGGACTGAAAAATATCACCATGCAGATATTAAGAACTCAGTACAGGCCTGCGAAGGAGGGAACAAATAAATGAAAAATAGGCCAACACACTATGGGAACAATTCCTAATATGGTGGCTTCCTAGACTAGTTCCAAAACAACACTAGAACCATGGAGAGGTGGAAGGAAGGGATTAAGTACCTTTTATTTCCTAACACAGCTGGTAGGCAGACAATTTAATTACATGCAGATTTTAGAGTCAACGTTATCTATGTAACCCTGGTCCACTTACTTATCTTCACTCTAAACCTTACTTATTAAATGATCACAACATTCTTTTCATTATAAAGTTGTAGTAAGATTGTATAAATATGTAATTTAATATAATATGTAATTCCATCAGGGCTATTGATAGAATTGATCTGGTGTATAGCCTGGGCATCAGTATTTTTAATAGTTCTCCAGCTGATTCTCATATGCAACCAAAGTTGTGAACCACTGCTCCAGACTCAAATGGTGGCACTTGACACCATTTAATTGTAAAAGGCTTGTATAGTACATGCTGTCAGGTCACCAGGTAAATAATGCTTATGGCTCAGGGTTTGAATAGCTAAGCAGTCCATAGGCATTGTTAAGTGGTTTCTCTATAGTGGCCAACATAACATGAATAGCAAAGAGTTAAAGGTATTGGTGAGACTCATAGTAAATGGTGAGACTGAATGTTCTCCCACCAGGATCAAGAATAAGGTAAGGATGTGTGTTCTCATACTTCCATCAATATTGTACTAGATTTCTTAGCCAGTGAAATAAGGCAAGAAAAAGAAATGGTACACAGATGGAAACGAAGAAGAGAAGGTCAATATACAAACATCAACCTTTTTTTTTATACTAACAAGAAAAACTTGGAAATTAAAATTTAAAAAAAATACCATTTATAATAGCAATAATAGTTATGAAATATGATGTTAAATTTAACAGATGTGCAAGATTCGAATGCTAAAAACTACATAAATTATTGAAAATATTAAAGAAGCTCTAAATAAATAGTAAGATACACCATGATCACAGATCAGAAGACTCAGTATGGTCAAGATGTTAATTATTCCCATAATCCAAATCCAAATCCCAATAGGCTTTCCCCTCCTAGAAATTGACAAGAAGATTCTAAAATGTATATGAAATGCCAAAGACTTAGAATAGCCAAAACCAGTTTGAAAAAGAACAAAGTTGGAAGCTTTAAATCAGGGGTCCCCAACCCCTGCGCTGTGGATACAAAATCTCTGGCCTCTTAGGAACCAGGCCACACATGAGGTGAGTGGCGGGTCAGCCAGTGAAGCTTCATCTATATTTGTAGCTGCTCCCCACTGCTAGCATCTCCGCCTCAGCTCCACGTCAGATCATCAGGCATTCTCATAGAAACGCCTGACCATAGAAACACCTGATCCTGGTGCCAAAACAGTTGGGGGTCGCTGTCTTAAATTGCCTGATTTCAAGACTCATTATAGAGATGTGGTAGGAATCAAGACAACATAACAAATCTTACCATTGTTCACCATATTTTTCCTAGCAATCTCCCATAACTGACATCCTCCATATCCCCTGTACCCCAACCTTTCTTTTCTTCAGTTGAAGATGGTATTTAAGCTGGTAGCTTAGGCCACCTTTGAGAGTTACTCATTTTTCCTTGAGTCCCTCCCATGTATCCATGAGGTACACATATTAGTAAACTTGTTTTTCTCTTGTTAATCTTTTATTATAGGGTGTCTCAGGCAAGAACTGAGAAAGGTAGAGGGAAAATTATTTTTCCTCCCCTACATTGGGATATAATCCTGAAGAATAGTTTGATGACCTTTGCAAACAGAAACATTTCAGTTCATTCTAAATGTTTAATATTTGAGAAGATATATTTTGGTTTTATTTTTATATTTATGCAAATTCTAGCTACACATCACTTTCTCCTTTGTTTTCTCAACTCTCTGCAGTGTAATTCTTTCTATCCTTTTTATAATACATATTTGTCTTCAAGACGTTGTTATGAAAATGAAAAAAAAAACACACCCTGAAACTATTTGCAGTAAATACATCTGACAAAAAATTCATATCTAGAAAATATAAAGAACTCTTAATAGTTCAATAATAAGAAGACAACCCAATAAAAAATGGATACAAGATCTGAATAGACACTTCATCGAAAAAATATATGGAAGGCAACCAGTACATAAAAAGATACTCAATATAAATTAAAACCACAATGAGATACTGTAACATACTCATTAGAATGCCTAAATTAAAAAGACTGAGCATTCCAAGTATTGCCAAAGATGTGTAGCAAACTCTCACACACTGCTGGTGGAAAGGTAAAATAGTACGACCACTTTAAAAGGGTTTGGTAATTTCCTAAAAAGTTAAAAAATTACCTACCCTATGATATAAATATTCCACTTCAGGGTATTTATCCAATAGAAATGAATATGTACAGGCACAAAGACTTGTATATTGTTAAGAAAAAGAAACAAATGGCCCAAGGTGGAGTTGCTTGCCCCCAGGACAGAAAACCAAGACTTACTTGCAGCTTCAGTTCCTCCCAGGAATATGACCTTAAACTAATAAATTTGCAATCTCCTAATAAGATCTCTGATGCCTTTCCTTAAAGAAAGGTGCCCTAGCCTAAAACACTCTTTTCTTTTGCTAATAACTTTCTGGTCCCGCCCAATTTGTGCCTATAAAAACCTTCCATTCTGTACAACTTTTCTCAGAGCTCCCTTCTGTTTGCTAGATGGGATGCTACCTGATTCATGAATTGTTCAATAAAGCCAATTAGATCTTCAAATTTACTCAGTTGAATTTTTGTTCCTTAACAACGTAGAATGTTCTTAGCTTTATTTGTAATAATCAAGACCTAGAAACAATCCAAAAGCCAATCAACAGATGAATAAGCACGTTATGGCACAGCCATATAATGGAATACTATTTAGAAATGAAAGGTAGCAAATTATTGATACACACGACACGGACAGAATGGAAAATACTGATGCTGAGTGAAAGAAGCAAGACAAAAAGGAGCACATGCTATATATGATTCCATTTACACAAAAATCTAGAAAACACAAACAAATCAATAATAATAAAAGGCAGATTAGTACCTGGAAATTTTGAGGAATGATAGATATATTCATTATTTGATTGTGGTGATGCTTTCACAGATGGATTCATATGTCAATACTCAAATTGTACACTTTAAATGTGTTTCTTGCATATTAGTTATGACTAAAGCTGGAAAAATAAAGTTAAGAATATGGTGGGGGAGACTCATATCACCAAAGTGGAGTGGTGAAAGACTTCTGTCTTTAAAAGAGTCTAGATGGAGAAGGAGAACCACTCTGTAAACACTGATTTCCCAAGAAAAGGAACAGTCCTATGATAAAGTACCCTGTTTAGATAAGGCAGGAAGAAAGGTGTTCTATTTTTATTCTATTAAGTCAATATGATT